GTATAATTAATATTACAGCTTAATCTTGACTGATTCCTTCGGGTCACACCCAAGCAATTAACAAACTGACTCGACGAATTAATTCGGAAGAAATTAATGAGTCGCTTGAGTAATTAATATTTAGACGTCGGAAATTCGAGCTTGGAGCGTCGAAACCGAGCGTCGGAGAATCTCAAATGTCGAGCCAAAATTTAGGATTTGGCAAGACAGGAAAATGCTTCAAGTAACAAGTAAAATCCTAGCCACGCGAAAGGCTAGGAAAGCGTGACAAATAGGAGCATGCCACATGGCACCACACATGGAAAAACGTCATGTGGCAGCCTCCAAGTGGCAGCGCGCCACGGTGGCAGTGCATGTGGTAAGGGTCGTGGATCCAGGTGATGGGTCATGGACACGGGCCAAAAGAAAGTGGCCCAACCAAACCCAACTTGGGGCTCAAGGTTGGGTGACACATAGTTAGTTCACAATGCATGTGAAATTCCTTGGGGACCAAGTGAGAAAGTGGTCCTCACCTAACCGTGTGACAGTTATTACTTGTTCCTTGGTTTATTTAACTAAGGGTTGAATTCATCAATCTTTCCATGTGGGATATTTTTGTGAAAAAGTCCCACATTGAATGATGAGTGGAATTCACAAGCTATCCTTCCTTATAAATAGCCAAATCATGGCTTGAGAATTCTTTGCTTGAGTAGAAATTCAATAGGGCATTGCATTTGCAAAAACCCTTAAACTCATATAATACTCGGGTTTTGGTCGGGCCTCGCTAACCTCGAGGCAACGGACTTAAAAGTCGGTAGTCGTTTTTGCGGGTGGATTTCCGTTGGAGGCTCTCGTGTTTTCGGGGCTAAGCTTTCAAGTAAGAGTCTATTTGGTCGGGCGAAGCACGCTCCAAAAGGTAATCATTTTATCTTAATCTTGTGTTTAATTTAATTAGGTTTGTGGTTTTATTTATTGCGAGTGCGGTCTTGTTTTTAGGTTTTTTTTTCGCGGTGAGTCGGACTCACCAAACCCCAACAGGCTGGAGGTGTGGGGTGGTGGATGGGTTCGGGTTAGGTGGGTAGGGTTCTGGTGGCTGGGTACGGGTATGTTGGTGGGTGGGTGGGTACGGGTTAGTTAGGCGGGTTAGGGTTAGGGAGGCTGGAAGTGTAGGGTGGGTTAGAGTTAGGTGGGTGAATGTGGTTCTAGTGGCTGGGTACGGGTTAGAGAGGATGGAGGTGTGGGGTGGTAGTGGGTGGTGGTGGTTAAAGGTGTTTGTTTGTTTGTTTATTATCAATTTTTTTGTTGAAAATCATAAATTGTATTACAGGATTAATTAATGAAAATAATGACGTTAGTACATATGTTCTGATTGTGTATCAATTTGACTAAAAAAACCAAAAAAATGATTTTTTTATAATTTTTTATGCATAATGGGAAACGGTTTGGTGTCAAAAACCTCTTTCCTTTCGCTACAAATGGGCCATGGTTTAAAAGGCTGATGGGAAGCCCCCCTAAGCGCATGCAGTTTAAAAACGCTTCCCATTAGGAGGTTTGAACCGCTTCCCATTTGCCTTATTCTACTAGTGACGACTGTTGGGATTTAATGGCTGTTGGAATCCCTTAATTTTAACTTCATCTTATTGCTAATTTAATGGGCATTATTGCTGATTAATGTTGTTACTTAAAGACTAGTCGTTACACCTTTTACTGTTGATTAAAGCTAGATCTTATTGGGGATTAATGGGTGGATGTTACACCACTTGATTGATGATCGTTTCCTCCTTAATTGCTGGTAGTTTTACTCCCTCCATTGCCTTATAAATCTACCTTATTCACCTATGAAATCGATAACAACAAAATCAACCATCTTTAATTTCTTACCTTCTCTTAAAAATATATCTTCGGTTTTTGGGCAAGTATTCTGAGTTCCAGTCGGGTTTGTCAGTGCACACAAAATCTGGCTCCATGCTTATCCTGGAGAGCGACCGCTTGATGTCTACTACACCGGAGTAGCGCGAAATCGTCTTTTAGGTCGGTGGTTATCCACGACGCGATAACTGTCAATTTGGTCTACACAACATTGATATAAGCATTTTCGTTTAATTTGCTTATACTAACAAGAGTACAAGACAATCAAAGGCGTTCTACCAGACTGAAGTCATACCATAATTTAACTCATCTCTAGTTAGCAAGTAAGATCCCTTTAGAACTGTAGAGTGAAGAGGGGGAAAGGATGATAAGAGAATTCTCACACCTAAAGTTGCCCGTGGCGGAAATTGATTGCGATAATGAGACAAGACACAATGCCTATGACTAGTCCTAGACATGTACTAATTGGTAACTCCTCTTGTCTTAAGGCCTTACAATAAGTGAAATTTTGCTAGCTTAGGATCATACTGTGTATATGAATTTATGATGTAATCTAGATGCATTCTCTATTTCTCTTTAAGGTTTAAGGTTGTTGGCTTGGAACCACAATAGCAATCTTTGGCAAGATGAGTTTAATTTTTTTTTTTATTATTCATAAATAAGATGTCATACGACAACTACAAAAAGATTTATGTCAAAGACATACATGACAATTGAATCAAATAAAAACACCCTTTCATTAGCAAAGCTACAATTGTTGTTGCAAATCGTACATTCTTTATACCCTTTTCCACATCGTTGTGATTTACGGCCTTCTTCGAAGAAGGGGTCTATTGAACTGTTGTGTCCATGAGAAAATATTTGCCTAAGTCGTCTGGTTGTAATAGAAAGATTAATCTCTTTTTCGACCCCGTACAAATCTTTACCCATGAAATAACTCTACAACAATCCATCAATCAAAAAAGCAAATCCTCCTTCAAAACACAAAAGAAAAACCTTTTCTTTCAAAGGAGAAAAATCTTCCTAAAAAAAAAAAGAAAAACCCTTTATTTCGAGGGAGAAACGTTCCTCCTAAAAGAGGAAGAGTTATTATAAACCTAGAACAAACAAAAACAAAGAAAAAAGGCACATAGAAAACAAAGATTGGGGCTTTCAACCGGTGAAAACCGATGGAAGCCCCTCCAAATTCAACAATGGAGGCTAGATTTTTTAGAGAGAGGAAAGGGGAGAAAGGAGAGAGGCTAGATGAGTTTAATTAATAACATGCAAGATGAGATTGGTACATTAAAAAAAATAAACAAAGCAACATGTATAGGAGTATTTTGTGAAATTATCCAAAATATAACTTTGTAATTTGTAAAATCTATGTTGTTGTATAGTGCAAATTATTTGATGCACGTGGTTACACAATGTTCATGGTGCACTTTGTCAAAATAATATCATACTTCATATGTTCTTTAATTTGATTTTGAGTTACACTTCATATATACATAAGTGAAAAATAGCAAACTTCTCATATTTTAAGGACATATAAATTAATGACAAAAGCATGAAAAATTAAAGGAAAATTGTTAGGAATACTACAACCTTTCACCGATCTTTTAAATTAAAACGACATTGTAAACATAAATTTTAAATCTGAAAAATATATAGATTCAAAACAAATGCAACAAAGAATTAATTTTATTAATTTGATAATTTTGGGTACAATCTCTAATTTGCTCCTCTAATTTGATCTCCACTTTGACTTCTCTCTGTTTTTCTCCTTTTTTTTCAAATGAAACAGAAAACCTCTATTTATAGAGAGAGACACCCTAGAGTTAATTAGGTTAGGGTTTGATATGTATTGGGCTTTTGAGGTAATCATGACTCATTTACAATAGTTTAACCCATTTTTAATAGGTTTTAACTATTAAATAAAAAAATTAGTTAAAAATAATTAAAATGGGCTAATTTAATTTATTTCACCCAAAATAATTAAGTTTAATTAATAGTCAAATAAATAGGAGTCAATACTTTGACTTTTGACCCATATAATATCCGATGTGGCACTTTTATAAATTTTTCATGCCTACAGACATTTTGATCATTTCGGAATAAATAAAAAATCTTTAACACACATTTTCTGTAAATAGAATAAAAAAGGAAAAATTAGAAATAATAATTCAACTTTGTCTAATTTATGTAGAATAATCTCAACTTATAATTATACTGGATTAATCCGAACTTTGGGGGGTCTTCTTTTTCTTCAATCCCAAATACCGGTTACCGGTTGAATGGGTTAATTTTTTTATTTTTTTATTAAAATGACACGTGTCACAAATTAATTGGTTAAAAAATATATAAAAAACAAAATAAAAAAAAACCAAAAAAACCCACCATGAACCAGACAACCACCCAACCCCTCCACCCTTGCTCACCGGAGCCCCAAACCTCACCCACTGCCCTCTCCGATCCCTTTTTCACCGGAAAAACCACGGATGCCAGACTGAAAACCTGGCCCCGACCTTCCCCCACTCCGGAAAACACCATCGCCACCCCTATCTGACCTCCCTCATCCTGAAACAACCGAAACCCCAGCCCAACCCATTGTTGGCTTCCCTTCTTGCCTCGCCAACCACCACAGCCTTGCCAAACACCACAGTTACTAACCCCAGCCGCAGCCACCGACCTCAAAACTACCAAACAATCTCTCAATTCCCCCAGCCACAAACGCCGGCCGGCATACCGCTCACGAAACTCACTTGAAACCCTTCCCCTAATCCCGAAAATACCTAACCCACCCTCGAATTTGCGATTTGGGGTTTTGGTGGCTGCGATTTTGGGATTTAGGTGGCTGCGTTTAAGGATTTTGGTGGCTTCAACCTTGGGGTTTCGGTGGGGGGAATAGGAAGGTGTTTTCAGGGAGGGGGAAAAATGGCGACGTAAGGGGTGGGGGATAGCGGCGGTTCGGCGAGGGGATAAGAGGCGGTCTAGCTGTGGTGGTGGAGGTAAGGGTGCAGGGGGGAGGGGAGGTTGGCTGGGTTTTCATTTTTTTAAAATTATTTTTGGACCAATCAAGGCTTGCCACGTGTCAAGTGACCTGATATAATAGGTCATTGACTTTTGTTGACCGGTTAGGGATTGAAGAAAACGAAGACCCCAAAGTTCGGATTATTCCAATATAATTAAAAGTTGGGATTATTCTACATAAATTAGACAAAGTTGGGATTATTATTTCTAATTTTTCCAATAAAAAATCGGTAATCCGACTTTATAATTTTTTTTTTTTTTTTTTTTTTTTGAAACAAATCCGGCTTTATAAGTTAAATCGGATATGTGTTGCATTATGATTAATTCGATTTTTTGTAAAAAAATTTAGCATAAAAATGATCTTAATTTTTTATTTTTTATTATTAAAAACAGAAATCCCCTCCACCTCCCCACTGACCCTTGACCCTTCCTGTTCAATGTTTTTTCATTCATTTTTTTTCCTCTCGTGAGCTTTTCACTTTAACGCTGCACAAATTTCTCTCTCTCCATTACAGCGTATTCTTAGCTTTCTCTCCTCCATTGAAGTTGGTTCTAAGGTATGATGTTGTTCTATCTTTTCTTAATAATCGAATATCAATTTAACAATTAAGAATTCATCTTTAATTTAAATTTCAGTACAATCAAATTAGGGTTCTTCTAATGTGGATTATTGAACTATTGACTATTATTATTGAAATCAAGTCAGGAAATAACGAGCAATTTTTGTTGACATTCTTAAGCAAGAAGAATGTATCTATGTTTGTAGCTTGATTAGATAATGGAGTCAATTTTGGTTGTTAGGCAATGTTAAGTTGTAAGTATGAAATTGAACATTTTCTCGTTTGGACAATTTAATTTATAGATGCAAAAACAATTTTTGAATATGTAAAATCATACAGAGAAATTTCGATCAAATGTTAATTAGGACTCTGATTTGTATCCACTTTTGGTCATATAGTTTTAAGCATCTTGCATTTGATACTGGTATGTAGGAGACGAGACTCGGACTAGTATCAATGCAATGTGTGCTATAGTCAAATAAATGGAATGCTCTCTATGTGGGAACAATGTATCCGCGATCTCAGATTTAATCACGGTGTTGTAAATATATATCGGGTTGATTTTTTGTTGATCATGCATTGCCTCTTAATACTAATATGACCCGAGCAGCCAGTGAAACATATTACTGTGAGTACCAAGCCTAGGACATACTTCCTCCATCTCTTTATATTTGCAACACTATGACTTATACACTATTTACATACACTACTTTGACTAAATCTGATGATATTCTTCAGGAAATATATAATCATGTAAAAATCTTGTTACATTTGCTTCAATTTATTATTTTTATATATTGATTATTAAGGATGTTAGTAATTAAAATGATGCATCAATAAGCATGAAATGAGATATGTTAGTAAAAAGATTGAAACATCAAAAGTATATTTTTAGCTTAAATAGCGGGAAATATAATTCATTTCAAGAGGAAACTTAACTCCAACATCTTCAATAAAATATTTGAATTTAGATGTAGACTTCCATAGGCCTGGGAGGAATTGAGAGATGATTGTATGAAGTTGCTTCAAAAATCAAATTTTGCCTATATGATATCCTTTTGATGGTATTTGATTAGAAGTTGAAGCTACTGAGTAGTTTAAGGATAACGTGCACCACCGGTCTTGTACCTCTTACGACTGCCTTCATTTGTACTTGGTTTGAGGGTAAGATTGTGATTACTTTATTTTAGTTCAGGTTCTTTCTCTCTTGTTTATCTTGACACAAACTACAGGCTGTCCTTCTCAACACAAGTATTTCACTCGTGGAATTGGCTTTGATACTTGTATTGATGAATGTTCAGTCATTTAGAGTTTGTAGAAAATTTGGAAAGCTAATTTGAACTTACTCCAACAAGATTTTTGTCCCATGCAGCATCCATGGGGATTAATTTTCAATCAGTGCTCATATTCTCAACCATTTTACGGGTACTATTGATCCTCTATGGAGATTGGCAAGACTCCCATATGGAAGTTAGATACACTGATGTTGATTATCTTGTATTTTCTGATGCTGCTACTTTGATGTCTTTTGGGGAGTCTCCTTTCAAAAGGACCACGTATCGTTATTCACCATTGCTTGCCTTTCTACTCATACCAAATGCGGTTTTTCATCACTCTTGGGGGAAATATCTATTCTCAGCTGCAGGTATGAAAGAATCATCCTAACAGCTCTAGAAAAAGCTATTTTACTTGCCATTATTTTTAGATATCTGGAATTCAATTTCGCTGTGACACATCTTATCCCTGCTCTTTTTTTGATGTACATTCCTTATGTATGTGGAAATAAATTCTTCCATTCTAAACACATTAAATTTTGGCATTTAACTTTGGTTGAGCTTCTGTTTTTGGTTTAGGGTGACCAGTTTTTATGATATTGTGAATTTGCTTGTTTTTTTTTTTATTTATTAATTGTGGTGGAGCTTAATGTATTATTAGAAAGAAGAGAAATTTCTGATCCATTGTTGTGGTCAACAATTTCTTTGTCATAACTTCTGTTACTGTGGTCTTGCTATTTACAGATTTGGGAGTGTACTAGGAAATATGAGGTGCACAGGTTTATTTGGCCATCATCTGAGTTGCAACATTTCTAATTTGCAGATCTGCTAGTTGGATACTTAATTCGTTCCATTTTGAAGCTACGTGGAGTACCAGAGAAAATATGCACTTACTGCATGATGGCATGGCTTTTCAATCCATTTACCTTCACCATTGGAACTCGTGGAAATTGTGAACCTCTTGTTTGTGCAGTAATCTTGTGGATCATTACCTGTATTATGAGGGGTAATATTCTAAATTCAAATATCTTTCTTTTCTTTCTTTTCATATAAATATTGTTTTTTTAGTCTTTCAGTTTGTCTTTTACTTTTTATGAATGTGAAATCACACAAGCTTAAAAAAAACCTCTATGACAAGTTCATCACTCAAACAAATACTTAAGGAACCTCACAAATTTAAACTAATGCCAAGGCTGCAATAATTGGTAGCTTTTTACCCTGATACAACTTGTGCTTTGACATGGGTTTCATTCTTTGTGAGCTAAGATAGTAGTGATACACTATTAGGAGCTGTTGAAAAGGGAAAAACATGAAAGAATCTCTCACTATTGTTGTGAAAACAAAATCTGGGGAGTGCTAGCAGAATGATATACAGTGAAAATTGCTCATGTTAATGTGAAGGCCTACTGGGTTTAAGATATTTGCTCTATTTACCATATACATTGCATATGTTAATGTTCATTGTTGTAGAAAGTACTCTTCATCATTGAGGCCTTCCAGATTCAAGTCTACCTTCTTCACTGAGAAATTTCTTGAATGCAACAGTTTTTCTTGAGTAGTTCTCGTTATCGCAGTTTGTAAGTTCACAATTTCTATGCATGCACAGAGAGATAAATCATTCCCCCCCCCCCCTTTTTTTTCTTTTTTTTTTTTGGGTGAAATCTGTGACTCAAACAATTTAATTTAAAGTGGAATAAAAAACTGGTATGGATGGTATATATATTCATGCGCATATGTGTAAGTATACGTCATGTATGTAAATAAATTTGAAGAAATGGTTTTGAATTTACTAACAAAAGCAGTCTTTACATAGGATCCTGTCGAAATTTTCTAGATAATGTGTGTAAGTATAAATTTGTATATGAATTAGTGCTCTTAAATGTGAAAGACCAGTCTTTTGACAAGATACCATCAGAAATTTTAGAAAATGAAGTAATTCTAGTGCTACCCGTTAGAGTGTAAAACACTTGAGCGACTAATAAATGAGATTATATGCTTTAGGTTTGCTAAGTGAATGCTTCTGACAAATGCTAAGTGGCACTTGATATTTGTACATGTCAGTGGATGTGCATGTTATATAATTTTTAACCGCATTTGTGGTGCAACTTACAATGTTCTACCAAGCTTGTTTTGTATGTTTACTTCATGTTTATTGGAATTTCTTACCGTAAGACATTATAGATTTTTTTTTTTTTTTTTTTTCTTGGGCAAATTGTACTAATTTCATAATGTCTTGTGATTTTCTGTTCTTATCTGTCCACAGGGAAGGTCTACCAAGCTGCAATATGGTATGGACTTATTGTCCACTTCCGAATATATCCTATTATATATGCACTTCCCATAATATTAGTTCTTGATCCACGAGTCATCCAATCTGGTCAGAAGCCCACGCTTGTGAACTGGAGCTCTGATCAAGAAAAATCACCTCAACGCTTAAATGATACAGACCTGAAGTCTTTGTGGACTGTACTTGTGAGCTTTTTTTCAGGCACTAGGATCCTGTTTGGATTGATATCAGGTGCTGTCTTCTTTGGTTTCACGGGTCTCTTTTATTATTTATATGGGTGGGAATTTCTACATGAGGCATTGCTTTACCATCTCACACGAACTGATCCTAGGCACAATTTCTCTATATATTTCTACCACATATACCTTCATTATGAGCATGAGCTCTCAATACTTGAAAAGCTCGTCTCTTTCCTACCACAGTTTACCGTTCAGCTGCTTCTTATGTTCAAATATGCCCTCGATCTTCCCTTCTGCTTTCTTGTACAGACAGTGGCATTTGTAGCATTCAATAAGGTTTGTAATTTTCCTTTCCTTTTGCCATATTTTTTCTTGTTTTTCGTTTTCTTATTAATGTCTGTAGTCTTTTAAGTGATTGTTGTATATATGCAAATTTTGAGTATGTTTGTTTCCCCTCTCAACATCAGGTAATTACGGCACAGTATTTTGTGTGGTTCTTTTCCTTGATACCAGTGGTATTGCCATGGAGTAAAATGAAAATGAAATGGGAAGGACTCTCCTGTATAGTAATTTGGATGGGGACTCAACTTCACTGGCTGATGTGGGGTTACTTATTGGAATTCAAGGGCAAGAATGTGTTCTTACCTCTTTGGATTGCAAGCCTATTATTCTTAGCTGCTAACTGTTACGTTCTCATTGTTATAATTTGCTGTCATAGATACTCTCCCATATTTCAACATCTTAGCACAACCTCAAGAGACTCAAAAGGGCGTCTAAAAGTCAAGTAAGCAATTAGAGCTTTGAGACATTTAGATTTCAGGTAATTTCTTGTAACTTAACTTTTGTTACTACATGTATTAGATGATTTGTTACCAAATGAGTTATTACTCCTTTTTCCTCATGCTACCTTGCAATATTGAAAAAAGAAAGGTGAGTTTTTGAATTATATGGACAAATTGCTATGACTTTTACATTCCCAAAGAAAAGAGCTGGGCTTGAGTTTTCTGATAAGCTTGATCTTGTTTGGGTGGATCTCCATAGTTTAGTTAGCATGAGCTTAATTTTAGTCTTCTTCATGCTCATGATCGATTTAACTTGAGCCAAAGCTATATCAAGTCTATATGAGTCAAGTTTAAGATGGATGTAGCTTAAGTTATTAGCATTGCTGATATGGTGAATGTGAAATTTGGTACTGATTTATGCAGCCTAACGGCCTTAACCTTATATGGAATTTCATGTTGTTAGTAGTTAATGCTTTTATTTTAGGCTTTTAGCCTTTACGGTGTGTTTGGATAGAAGGAAATGGAAGGAAAAGAAGGGGAGGTAAATGGAGAGTTGTGATATCTTTCATTTGGATAACAAATGAGGAAGTAATGCTATGTTTGGATAACAAATTAGAAGGGAAATGGAAGGGAGGGAAATAGGAGGAAGGGGAAGGAAGGGAAAGTGGAGGAAATGATGAGTTCCATTTTCCCTCCAAATCTCTCCAATTTTGAAGGGATGGTCTTTATTAAAGGAGGAGGGAAAATAGATCCCTCCCTCCCCCTCCCCTTCTCTCCCCCAACATATTATCCAAACAAGGAAATTTGTCTCCCTCCCTTTCCCTTCCCTTCCTTTCCTTCCATTTTTTTATATCCAAACATAGCCTAAGGGAATTGGAGGGGAGAGAAATGAAGGGATTAAATTATAGGAAAATGATTCCTCCAACAATGGAGAGATTTGGAAGGAAAACTCACCATTCTTCTCTCCCCTCCCTTTCCCTCCCTTCCTCTTCTCCTCCCTCCCCTTCTTTTCCTTCCTCTAATGTTATCCAAATACACTGTTAGTGTTGCGTATACGAAGTAGCAAACTGTATGAGCATATTAATTGTCTTCAAAGCTACATTTTCAAAATTTCATTTCCAACTGTCACATTCTCTCTCTCCCTCTTTTTTTTTTTTTTTTTCCTCTAATACTCTAGATTATTGATTAGTGTATCTAACCATTACTCTCTCTCTCTCTTTTTTTTTTCTTTTTTTTTTTTTTTTAAATTACTACATTTTGATATTTGATATCCGAATAGTGTTCTCAGGAGTGGGAAAAAAATATCTAAGAGGAATTTCACTTTTTCCTTTCTACTCCTTACGTCCGTTTCCACTCTTCTATTCCATTTTCTACCTTATACTACCATTTTTCTTGAGGTACTCCCACTTAAGCAATTTGATTTTTATGGCAAAATGGTAAATAAAACAACATATATGTCGAGTCGTCATGACATTTTTCATAAATAAATCAACAATAGAAGGACCAATATGTAATACTATTTTGCCATTTTTTGTTTATTAAATTGGTTAATTGGTATTTTTTTTTTACGTAGTACAAATTCTACAAATTTACAATTGTATTTTTTTTTTACCTTCAAAATAATTGAAGTTAAAGTGTCATCACTTGCATAGTTACATGTGCCTTACTTTGACAAGTATAATTGATGGACCAAGGGTATTATTATTAGAGGAAAGTGGTAGCTCAAATCATAAAATAACCACATTAACAATTATAATACTAATAAGATTAAGTTAATAAATTAAATTAATTCAAAAGTAAATATTAATAATATTAACAAAAATAACATTAATACTAATAATAATTATAAAAAAAAAAAAAGACAAAAGCTAACGAACGCCCTGGAGGCGTTGGATAAGCTAGCTAAAAATAGAAGGATTTAATTAAAAATTAACATTAAGATGCGTGATTTTGTAATGCTTTTCCACCCAAAATAATTAATGAAAATAAAAAAACAGACTTCTACCCAAAATAATCAAATCCACCTAGGCAGATCCAGAAATTCTAGGCGGATGTAGAGAGGCAGATTCGGAAATTTTTGGTGAATTCGGATTTTTTAGGTGGAAGTTTGTTTTCAAAAAAAAAAAAAAAAAACTTATAGAATCTTTCGACGACATCTCTAGAGTACGAATATTGTCGTCCATCGTCCTAAACTCGTCCCAAAAACTGCATAAATTTTTTGGTGGTGGATCGAAAAAAGTGGGGTTAGATGTCGTGGGGACCGACGTGGTGGGCTTGAGATTTTTCTTAACCACGTGGTATAAATTAGAAGGGTCAGTATGATATAATAATGGCCATGACTAATAAATGACTATTTTATAGTCCAACTTGCAAAAAGGCGAAAATTGTCCATTCATGTGAAAAAGAGTGTGTTCCCTTGTAAAAGGGAAACGACGTTTACTAATTCACTTTTATTTTCATAGGATTTAGAATCTGAAGACGGCGGTGATAATATGAATTATAGTGTGAATTTTGTCACGGACACTTTATTTCCAACGTTTGAGGATGTAGTTAAATGGGCGGATGTTTCCTTAAAACTGGGATGTATTTTGGTGAAAATGTGTTACAACTAAAGCAGAGATGGTCGGCCGTATCGATATTTGAAATGTGATCGGGGACGAAAAAGCAAGCCTAGAGATTTGGAGAACGCGATACGGAAGAACACAAAAACCAAAGCTAACATTTGTCCTTTCTGCATCATGATATATTATGAATTCACCACTAACAGTTGGAAGATCCATGTAAAAAATGATGAAATCAAGACCCATAACCATCCAATGATTGTGTATCAGGAGGGTCATCGTAAAGTTAGTTGATTGAGCTCGGGTGCAAAAAAGGTTAGTGCGTGACATGACAAAGTCTAAGGTTGCGCCGCGTAACATTATGACAACTATTGTAGAGTAATTTTCAAGTGATCATCCAAACATTTAACACATTTACAATTTCCGAAATAATTTGAGTACGGAGATGTCCAAAAGTAGAGGAGTTGTTCAGCAGTTTCTTCATTTGGCGAGACAGAGTCGGTATATTTACTGGGTCATGGCCGATGACCTCGGCATTCGGCAACATGTGTTCATGGTGCACCCAGTTACGATGAAAATACTCCGCACATACCCACATGTAATAGGTATGGATTCGACTTACAAGATCAACCGACAAACCAGAATTTCCTAGTTGGTTATGTGTTCATGCGCAAAGAGTACACAACAAGCTGTTGGGGGGGTTGCAGAGATTAATTGAGTTGATTGGGTTTGATAAAGAGCCATCGGTAATTTTTAAGACCATGAACTTGGCCTTTGTGCGTCTTTGAAAGAAGTGTTTCGAGTGACATCGCATTTACTCTGTCGATGACACATTAACTGATATGTTAAAAAACAAGAAAATTGGTGCGAGTTTTAAAAATGGCAAATGGAAACACATCATAGATGCTGCAACCGAGATGCAAGAGTATGGTGTTGCTCTAGTTACAATAAAAGATTGGTGGGCAACATTTTCGGCAGTGATTCTTTATGTTGAGATAATATGGCTTTGTCATAAAACCAAATTTGTGACATGTTGGACGAATCAAGTTCTTCACTTTGGTTACACGAGTAACTGTAGAGTTGAGAGCTAACATTCAACAGTGAATACATGGTTTGAATCATCGACATGTTCTTTGTTTTACTTTAGCAGTTGTTGTCTTTACTTTGTTAATGTAATTTTAATAAAAAAAATTATAATGTTTTTAATAATCTGAATCAATGTCAGGTTCTTTGGATACCGTATGGGCCCGAGTATATTGTCATATTGGTAATCAGCATTACAATTCGTAATGGTTTGAAGGTATAAAAATTTAAAATTCGTGAGAAATACAAAAATTTGTCAATGTCACGTATAAATGGCAAAGTGTCTCAACATTGTTTGAAAATACTCAATGATGAGACGACAAGGATGCAGGAGTTGAGTTACCAAGTATATGAGCCTTGTGGATGTGCAATGCGTGTGACCCATGGTATGCCATTTGCATGCCAGATACATGATTCGCTAATTGCATAGACAAGCTTATACTAGGAAAATTCATCCCTTATAGAAAACCTAGGTTATTGGTAATTATGTTAATATTCCTGAATTGGTGAACTATTCGACTGAGAAAGTTGCACATTTTCGTTCCCTGGTTGATGAGGTAATTGATATTGACTCTAGTGTACTTCGAAATGTATCTCGTATCATTGAAGATGAGCTGCAAGCGGATCATACAAACCTTGAAGAACCACATGTAAACCTCAACGTTCGAGGTCGACGGAGGAACAATGGTACCAGACGTAATCAAAGTTATTTCGAGCATGTAAACCGTCGAAACACTCAACGTGGTGGTAACCAACAAACATGTACTAATAAATGACTATTAATTTTTTAATTAAATGTATTTCAGCTTGTAGTGTTACAAATAATTAACTATGATTTTTGTGCATGATATCCGTGTGACATTAGTCAGTGTAGGTATTTGCACTTGTTTCCGGGATCGATGTTGCCTTATATCACGGCATAGAAGGATGCCATTGGTGATGAGAACTATGGATTTCATTGTGTGGCAGACTTCTTTTTTTTTGGTGATCAAGCGCAATGGTATGACGCTCGGAAAATAATAGCAAATGAGATTGCCGGTCATCCTATGTTGTACGAATGGATTTACGGGCTTGAAAGAATTTAGATGAATTTAGAACGTATTCGATGGGATAGTGAGGTGGTTAGGGAGCAACATTGGATGGTAACAATTCAAGATTTATTTTCTGTTGCTACTTGGTTCAATGCAAGGGTGATTTGTCTCGGTGTAGGCCTAATACCAATTTGATATTACCCATGCATCACGGAATTACCATTGAGGGCACGAAACGGGGTCAGGGCATCCAATAGAGAGTACGTGATTGCTACAGTTAGTGGGTCACATTTTATCCGTCTTGATCCCTAATTCACCTCTTTTGTTAATCGCAGGTTGGTGGATTGAGAACCATGAGCAAAATGTTGATGGATGAGATCAACAATAAGAAGTTAGAATAAATATGTGGAATACATTAAGTAGGTAGTAAACTTATTTATGTAATTATTAATGTACTTTCACTAAGTTTGAACAATTGGTTTGCCTATCATTGCCATGAACATGGCCTTCACCTTAAACCTCTTTGACTATTGACACTTGTAGGGATCTTCCTCTTTTGGAAGCAAATAGAATTTTCTGGTTTCCGGGTTCAAGTAGAACCATTTCTCATCAATGTGAATGACTTCTTTCATGTCAACAAACTTTGAGTCCCCTTGACTTGGAATTGGGTTTATGTGACTTAAAACCCACTTCAACCTTGCCACTTTGTGGTTGGATGTCAATGCAGGATGGTTTGTGCTTGTGTGTGTGCTTGGTCTTCCTTTCTTCCTTAATCTGTGAATTGTTGAATGTGAAACATTCAGTGCTCCTGCATAGTTTTTCTGTGTTCTCTTGTATAATGGGACAGATTACAACCATTCATCAAAGTACTCTTTGGGTTTGGGACCAGTCCTACCAGCTTTTTTAACCTGACATCAATGACATTCCCCTGGGCTATTCGCTTCTTAATGTTTTCATATAACCTAGACATTGTTGATCTATGAATGTCGAATTCTCTTGCTAGTTAGGATAAAAAAAACCCCCTTGGAAGATCACCTCCTTGCATCTGTAACAGAATGACATCTACGATTTGCTTTTTCTGTTCTATGGTGAGGTCTATTCTCTTCTCTCCTTGCTGGATTGTTTGCTGATTGTTTAAAATCTGATAGTATGCCCATTCTGCAGCATATTCATCCTCTGAATCAGTACTTGACTGTGATGAATCATTGGATAATGCTTGTTGTTCTTCACCTAGTAACTGTTCTATTGAAAAAAAGTTCTTCAATATCAATATCCATTGACAGATACTACCTTGTTCTGACCCAGGTCTTGCGATGGTGATGAAGTGGAGATGCAACTTTTTGGACAACTCGAACTAAACCAGCTTTTGGAAGATTTCAAAATGAAGATGTTGCCCCTAATTTAGCACTAATTAGATTTATGAATGTAGGTTTTGTGTAATTATGGTAGGTTTTGAACTGTCTTAGTGCTAAGTTTTAGAAATTTAAGGTGAAATGTATTCATTAGGAGGGAGTAGAAAATGTTGATGTACTGAATATATGATGTGCTGGGTGTGTTTTAAACAATTTATACCAACATTTGCTTGGGAAAAAGTAAGTGGTGGGAAAAAATTTGTAGTGGAAAACTAAGTTTTTAAATTTTGGTGAAAATTTGGGAGGAAAAAGTACACCCTCCCAAAATCAGTCCATGTGAATGCTTTGAAAAAATAGGTGGTCCCTTTTACTTCCCTCCTTTTTAAAACTTAATTACATGGAATTAACTTATGCTTTACTCCCTTAAAACTTTTGACTTGGGAAATGTGCAACCTCCCTTTGTTGCAAGAAATAAGAAGCAGAGGGAGTACTAAGTACTCTCTCCGTTTCATAATGTTAGTCTCATATACTATTTTGGGCGTTTCAAAAAGATCTACCCATACTGAATATATTTTATTTATAACTTGATTTTTTTGGAATTAATTGATTGTGGATTGATGATATGACTCCAATTAAGAAAATCTTTACCTTAAATTATGCAATTATGACTTGTGCTTTTCTAATAAAAAAAATCAAAAAAGTTAAATAAGACAAACTAATTATGAATTATATTGTACTTTAATGTTAGATTTCAAATATATTTGTTTTTTTTTTCATGTGATTGATTCTATATGGGACTAACATTATGAAACGAAGGGAGTATTAATGTTATTATTGTTCTTGTAATTAATATTTATTTTTATTATAGTTATTATTAGTATTAATGTTATTATTGTTAATATTATTAAAATTGTCCATTTATGTGGAAAAGGGTGCGTTCTTCTAGTTTCAAAATGTATTTTTGTTTTCTTGTCTTCTCGTAGTCAAGATCTCTTGTGGAGTTATCGGATCCTAGATCCAACCATATCTTCTATCCCTTTGCGTTTAAACTGGAAGAATTAAGCTCCCTGACTCCTTATAGTTCACAATTAATTTACCATGGCCTTCCAAGTTCCAACTTCAATAGGGACAAAATCACACATTCACGAGGATGCTCCAGTTTATCACTTTGAATAACAAAAAATTGTTTATCAAGTTGCAAATGATAAATAATTTAAGAGGAAGTTAATCTAAATTCAACTCAACATAATTGAGATTTTTCTCTCTAGTTGAGAGTTTCTCACTCTAGAAATAGAGTCTGCTTATACTATTTTATCCTGTTTTCTTTTTTACGGTGGTAGCCACCAATTGTAGTGGCTTAATTACAATCATTCTTCTTTTCATATCTTGCAGTAAATTGAGCCTACGGATTTGCTTTTTGCTATCCTTAGCCCTGTCTCTACATCTGGCATTCTCAATTGGTGCCCTCCTTAAAGGCCAATCCCTTTTGTTTAGTATAATCATTACCTTTTTAACAGTGTTTTCTTCAGTTTAACTGTCTTCTAGCGCCGTTATTCTCTTACCCTTCTATCCTGTTTGCAACGGTGTTAATTAGCTCACCTAAATTCGCTCTCTGCCGTTTCGGTTTACGGAAAGGAATTTAATTACGGCTGTAATTTGTTTTCACCAAGGCTAATCTGCATGCCTTGGTCGCCTTCTCCGAGACAAGGATTTGAAATGCCTCCTTGACATGGTGGCTTGTATAAATATAACTTCTAACGCACAACCACTGCCCTCTGCTTTCACTTTCTTTTTCTTCCAACCATGAACAACCAAGCAAATAACAACAATAACATTAATCGTGCTGCTCCCCTGGCTGAAATTGAATCCTATAGAATTCAGGGGAGTAGAGCTTTCTGGCAACAATGCATATATGGCTACCTTATGGATTATCGTAGTCTTAATGTTCGTTCCATCCAGAATTTTATTAATTCCAGATGGAGGAAAAGAGGAACCATAGAGGTGTTCAAGATGAACGACCTCTATGTCTTCAAGTGCTCTGATGACGAAGACAGGAGGGAGATGCTCGATATGACGCAAGCTTTCTTCGACGGCGAACCTGATATGCCTCCATCGCCAAATTTCAGGGCATCGGATGTTATGGTAGACTTTGATTTAGGTATCCAGAATGGGGGTAGAACTGTCCAACCAGGACAGCAGTTCAATAGCATGGGGGCTCCGTTCAGGGGTCCGATAGTGGGAGCTACGGTTGCTCATGGGAACGAAGAGGGGCAACCGCCGCAACCGCAACAGCATTTAGCTCAAAACATCGCTGTCGCCATGGACGTGGAACAGGGCAATGGAGAATTCAATTTGGGGGTAAGTACGGAAGCAGGTGAAATAGGGAGTGGATCTGCTGATGGCGCCACCCAGATGGGTGGTGGAGGGGGGGGGGACCCTTACCAGGCTGCAGCAGCGGCGGAGCAAGGTCAAATCACTGCTGCGCAACCAGGCTCAATCCCGGATATGTCTGATTTTGATTCCTCAATATGGCCCTGAAATTGAAAGAATTAGGTACGATATGCTTATGGGATCGGCGATACAATCAAGGGTGGAACCAAACGATGAAATAGCAGGCAGAAGGGTGGACAATTCGGGTTATAATCAACGATTTTTCATCGAATTCGATGCTCAAAACAACCCAAGGGCGGTTGAAATTAGAGAACCAGATTCGCCAAGCTATGAACCGATGGATGTTCAAGGAGATAACGAAGATGATGATGCTTATCCACCGGGTCAGATCCCAAAAAACCCTTTAAACCCGTGGGCAGGGGAATTTGAAATTGAAGTTGATGAAGAAAATCAATTAGAAGACAATAGCCTCGAAGCTCAAGCAGATCTGCAACAACAGGAGGGGCCCCGTATTGAACGACTAGAGATGGAGGTCACTGGGAATAGAGAATCAGCTTCACCTCCACCAACGGAAACCATGTCCGATAGTGCTGTGATCTTCACAAGGTGGGGTGAGAAAGATAGGAGAGGGAGGAAGATGGAGAACAAGCGCTTCAAGAAAGGTAAGGACAAAAGGCGTTACAAGCAGGGGAATTGCCCTCTCAAAAGAAAGGCAATCTCAGATTTGGATCTTGTTTCTATCCAATTTATAGAGGAATTGGAAGATGATGCTGACTCTGCTCTAGCTAGGAAAAGGAAGAAAGGGAAGGGCATTCAATCTGATGGACCTTCACAGGATGGGCCGTCTTCTTCCAAAAATGGGTTTGGGCCTGGACTCTCTTTTGAATTTGATGCTTGCTTTTCTATTACTTACGCAGGTGATGGGCTTGCGGCGGTTGACCCAACTCAACCACCTCTTACTCAATGATTGGACTCCTTTGGAATTTTCGGGGTATTAAAAGCCCAACAACACTGGCAATTCCAAAACTTAGAAGGCTTGTTGGGTCTTTTGGCCTGGATTTCGTTTTCTTAGCAGAAACTAAAAGTAGCTCGAACTTAGTTTTTAATCGTTTAAGAAGTTTAGGTTTTAACTATTTCAAAGGTGTCAACTCTAGGGGTCATAGTGGTGGTCTTTGGTTGGGATGGAAAAATAAATCACTTTTTGAAGTTATTTTCGTTTGTGTCAATTTCCTTATAGTAAATGTCAACGATGTTATTAATGGAAAATGGAGATTGATCTTGGTGTATGGTGAACCTTGCACGTCCCAACGAGGTAGTGTTTAGGATTGTCTTAATCAATGGACTAGTCCTACCCTTAATCTACCAATTGCAATTGTTGGGGATTTTAATCAAGTGGACTCACATTTGGACAAAACAGGACCCAATTCTTATTACATTAGAAGTGCAAGCTTGTTCAACGAATGGAAGGAACAAAACAATTTTCATGATTTGACTTTTCAAGGTCCTAGGTTCACGTGGTCATATGGGAGGGATGGAGATGATCTAGTCCTTGAGAGACTTGACAAAGGTTATGCTAATGTCAAATGGTTAAACCTTTACCCTCACTCCATTATAACTCATCAACCTATCCAAATTTCCGATCACGCTCCTATTATCTTCCAAACACACCAATCACCAAATAAAAAGAGGAGTGCGTATAAGTTGGAGTGTTGGTACCTTAACTATACGGAGTGCTTGGATGTGGCACGAGCAGCCTGGGATAAAAATTAGAGGGGATCCCCGATGTTTAGATTAGCAAGGAAAATTCACCAAACAAAATTAGGGATTAAGCGTTGGATTCTTGACAAACGTAGCGAGTGGCATGGTGAGTGGGATAAATTCGAGAAGGATCTTTTGGAGGCGCAATTAATTCTGGAAAACGATGGCAGCTCGGACAATTTCATTCTTGTTAGCAAGCAATTGTCCGAATATTCGAAGAATATGGCGATTTACTGGAGGCAACGTGCAAAGTTAAATTGGAATTATGCGGGGGATACGTGCTCTAAATATTTTTTTCAATTTTGTCAAAGGAAGAAAGGCTAGGAACAAGTTAGAAGCGATCAAGGATGGTAATGGTGTCTGGATTACAGATGAAGGGCAAATTGCTGAGATTGCGGACTCCTATTTTAAATCGCTCTACGGCAATGATGATCATCCCCCTCCTGCAAATAGAGGTAACGACATTATTCAAGGCACCAGGAGAATCTCTACCACTCTAGCGGAGGATCAGAAGGATTGGCTCTCTAGATCGTATACAACAAGGGAGATCAAAAATGCCCTTTTTGCTATGAAGCCATGTAAAGCTCCGGGTCCTGATGGGGTTCCGGCCGGGTTTTACCAAAAAAAATTGGAGTTGGATACAAGACGATGTCATCGGTGCTGTTCAATCGGCTCTTTCCTCAGGTATTCTGAGAGAATTTAATTTTACCAACGTTGCTCTTATCCCCAAGTGTGACAATCCAGACTCAATGGATAAATTACGACCTATCGGTTTATGCAATGTCATATATAAGATTATTTCAAAATGCATAACTAATAGACTTAGGAGAGTGATCAATGATTTGGTTAGTGATTTCCAGAATGCTTTTACTCCGGGTAGAGTAATTTCAGATAATATTCTGATTGCTCACGAGCTTCTAGAAAATATCAGGAAGTCTAAGAAGGGGGTAAGAGGTAAAATCGCCATTAAAACAGACATGAGCAAGGCTTGCGATAGGATCAAGTGGGATTTCTTAGAAAGTATACTTTGCAAGTTTGGTTTACCAGATCTAATAGTTAGAACTATTATGAATTGTGTAAGTTCTGTCTCCTTTTCGGTGATTATTAATGGCAGTACTCAAAAGGCCTTTAGACCAAGGTGTGGACTATGACAGGGAGACCCCTTATCTCCATGCCTTTTTAT